GTGGGCCAGAGGCGGCCAAAACTCTAGACGTGTTTTGAGCTCCAGAGTCGCTAAACAGGACTCGAACCGAGCGTGTGACCCCACCAATGGATTCCTTGTTCGGAGAGCAATCCATTGGTGGGGTCACACGTTCGGTTCGAGTCCCATTTAGCGACTCTGGAGCTCAAAACGCGTTTAGAGTTTTGGCCGCCTCCGCTGGTCTTCTGGCCCACTGTGCGGGGCTCGGCCGGGGCCGCGGTGCCGGGGCTTAGGCCCTCTGGAGCGCACAGCACGGCGAACGCCGCCTTTCGATAAGTCCAGGCGGGCCAGCCAGCCAGGCGAGGCGACTAAGCAGGCAAAGCCCCGGACCGTACACGCCGGGGAGGGGTGCGTGGTTTATGAGGCGAGAAGTTATGTGACGGAGGCGGCGGCGGGGCGGGGCGGGGCGTGCCAGCCGCGCTCAAGCGAACATACTGGCTCAGCCGCGAACGGCCGCCGAACAGCAGGATCAAACAGGTCCAAAAAACGGTACTGAAGAAAATAGACTGTGAGGGCCTCGTAAAAATCCAGGAAAGACTTTCTACGAGGGCTGTTTTGTTTCTACGAGGCCCTTTTGGTTTCTACGAGGGGCCTCGCAGGGATCAAACAGGCCGCGGAGAAGGTCTTTCTTGATTTATAAAACAATGAAGAACAAATAGAAACTCGTTGCGACAAAATGGGACCGTCGTCAACCTAGTATAGCACCACGCCGCGAACTCGCTGGCCTGTTTTCCGGGCCTTGCCTTTGGCGGTGGGGTGTTCTAGTGTAGGTCATCGGATGGCCCAGTCCACTCGGCGTGCCCCGCGTGCCCCATTGTTCCATACGAGAGTGATGAGAAATCCAGCCCCGCCACAGAGCGGCGCAGCCAGCGCGGCACTCACACACCTCTGTGCACACGTTCCGATCAGCTCCGATTCGGGCGAGTTGCGCGCCGCGCGTTGGACGTGGCTGATGTGGAGTGGATAGTGGATTGGGGGAGGCGGTCGTGACGTGAGCGAAGCGAGGCCTCCGCAGTGAGCATAGTCGGCGCTGGGCAGGCAAACAAGCAGGTTTTTGTCTTAGAGATTCGTGTATTTTTTATTCAGTATAACATTTTTACTTGCAACACAGTCAGTCAGACAGACAGACCGACAGACGGACAGTCAGACAGAAAGACAGACAGACAGACAGACAGACAGACAGACGGACGGACGGACAGACAGACAGACAGACAGACAGACAGACAGACAGACAGACAGACAGACAGACGGACGGACGGACAGACAGACAGACAGACAGACAGACAGACAGACAGACAGACAGACAGAAAGAAAGACAGGCAGACAGACAGACAGACAGACAGACAGACAGACAGACAGACAGACAGACAGACAGACAGACGGACAGACGGACAGACAGACAGACAGACAGACAGACAGACAGACAGACAGACAGAAAGAAAGAAAGAAAGAAAGAAAGAAAGAAAGAAAGAAAGAAAGAAAGAAAGAAAGAAAGAAAGAAAGACAGACAGACAGACAGACAGACAGACAGACAGACAGACAGGCGGAGAGGCCTAGACAGGAAGGGTGCCCCTCCGGCCCACGCTTTGGTCCGCCTCGCCTCGCCACGTCGCGTCCTTCCTGCGCGCCGCAGCAGGCGGAGCAGGCGCGGCAGCTTCATCCACGCGTCCGCATGACGTGAGTGGAGTTATGAGATTGCTTGGGCCGCCCGGCAGGCCGGCAGGCCGATTCCGAGCGGGGCACCGCGGCGGTCTGTCCCTCTCGCACCCGAAAGGGGACGCCGCTTGGGTGCGAAAGAGAAAGAGAGGTAGAGACCGCCCCGGCCAGACCGCCCTGGCGGAGTTGGCGGTGTGAGGGTGTGGGGTGTGGGGGTGGCCAGCCCACCGCGCCACTCGGTATTCGCGGCGCGTGCTGGGCCGGCCTTGCCCCGCCAGGCCGCCGGGCCGGAGAGGATGTACATGGAGTTTAGCAGGGACGCGACCGGAGACGTGCGTGGCGGGGGCGGTGGTGGCGGTGAGGGCGGCGCCCGACAGGCAGCATGCTGCACCGTGGACACGGCCAGCTCGACGAGCTACGACGCGGCGCTGCGACCGCGCCTGCCACCCGTCGAGTCCCGGCCGTGCGACAGTTCGCCATGTTGTCGCAGTTCTTGTTGTCGGGCGGGTGTTGCTGCAGCGCAACAAGGGAGCCCCGTGCCGGCCGGGCCTCGACGCGGGCCTCGGCGCGGGCCTCGACGCGGGCCTGAGTGAGTGGGGGTCAGCGCGGCACTGCGCCGCTGCATGAAGCCCCGGCCGGCGGGGCGTGACCCGGCTTATCAACACGGGACAAAGTTTTAATTGAAGACCTGGCCGCTGAGCGAGCTGCTGAGCGAGCTGCTGAGACTCGGCCTCCACTTCCTCGAAGGCCGCCCTGCCGAGGCCTGCCGACAAGCCTGCCGAGGCCGTCGGCTTAATAACGCCTCACGTCCCGCCGAACCGCCGCTCCGCCAAGCCGCCAAGCCGCCAGCCGACAGGGCGGAGAATTGGCGCGAACTCAGACCGCGGTCCATCTTGTCTCGTCGGGAATCTGGCGCGACGACGGCGACGGCGGCGACCGCCAGTCGCCGTGATGGCCTTATTTGTTCCACGAGTTTGATCGATTCGCGGCAAGGCGATGCCGGCGGCAGCTAAACGCCGCCGTCGTCACGGGGTCGTCGTCAGTCTCTCGCTCTCGCACTCGCGGGGCGCCTCGTAAGCGAGAGAGAGAGACACACAGCGAGGGAGCGCTGTACGGGGAATGATGGCAACTTATACGGCGTCGCGGCGGAATGGTGGGACTTGGCGTGGGCGGCAGCGAGCTGGCAGGGAGGCGGTTCATAAGGGAGGGGCGGGAAGGGCGTGCCGAATACAGGCAGGGAAAAAGTTTTCATAAGCGATGTAGTGGAAAAAGGCCACCAGTTGAAAGAAAGCTGACTCCTTCCGACTTTGCGGCCTTGGAACTAGCCTCAAACTTGGTTCCAGCCGCCCCGCCCCAACCCACTCCGCCCCGCCCCGCCCCGCCCCGGCTGCGGAACCTGGCAGGCATTCCGGGGCTGTGGAACGCTGCCGGGGCCTCGCCGCCGCCACTGTCTGGGCCTGGGCCGGACCGGCCGGGCATAACCGCGCAGTAAACGGAGTAAACGGCAGCCCACCGGTCTAAGAATTAGGCCTCCCGGCGGCGGCCAAAGACTTGCGCTCTCTTTCTTTTACTGTCGTGGGAGGGGCCGAGCGGACCGGACGCTAGGCCGACGCCGACGCGTGGGGGCGAAGGCGGCTGTTGTTTGGACACGATGTGGCACATTATGCCCCCCGCCCCCAATGGGCCACACACTGGCAGAATACTGGCAGTGCACGCCCCTCAGCGTATCAAAGTTTAGCGCTGTACTTCCCGGTAAAGTAGTGTTCGTGATTGGGCGGGCGGCGACGCCATGGCGCGCCCGACGTCTTTGCCGGCCGGGCGGCCGCCCAGCCCGCCCAAACGCTCGTCGGGCGGGGCGGCCGCCCGGCCCGAGATTTCAGTCCGGGCGGCCGGTTACCCGTGCGCCCGACCGGCGTTTAGCCACCTAGATGGCAGCACCTCTCGGGTCTAGCACAAGGCGAGGGGGTGAGGTGCGGGTGGAGGAGGCCGTTTAGGCGCGAACCGGAGTCGAACCGGAGACACCTTCGGCTGTTCGGTTTTAGAGTGTCCGAAGCTCGCCGGGGTGCGGCGCTGCAGTCTGCTTTCCGTCGGGCGGTGACCGCCCGCCCAATCTCGATCACTACGGTAAAGCCGACCAAGCGTGTCCAGGCCCAGACGCGCAAAGGCGCCCCGGCCGGCCTGGCCGACACGAAAAAAGCCAACAAAAACAACACCGGCGGCGGCAGAATCGCAATGAGAAGTTAGTGTGTTCACAAGTCTAATGAAACCATTACCGGGAAACAATGTCTTCCCTTTCCTCGCCGTCCCCTCCCCTCCCCGCGCGCCACCCCCTGCCGCTTGTAATGAAGCTTCACTCCTGCGAAAAGGAGGCCGATTGGCCATCGGCGGCTGGTTTTCCATTCGGGCCGCTGGGGAAATCAGAGCCCCAGAGCCGCCGTCCTGGACTGCGGCCTGCCCGACCCGCCCGGCCTGCCCACACGACCGGATGTAGGCTCGCGTGGGGGAAGAGGGGGGGGGGCGTGTTTAGCCAGCCCAGCAGCAGCACGCGCTCCGGACAGACAGGCCCGACTTCCCCACGTCTATCTCCCTCTCCCCCGCAGGCGTCCCCCGGGCACTTTGGCAGCACTTGGACGATGACTTCCATGACTTCGGCGACGCTCGTGTGTGTGTGTTTGGAGCAAGTTCCGCACATTGCGGAGGTTGGGGTCGGGGCGACGGGGCGGCGATGGCGGCAAGGCGGTGCCCCTGGGGTCCTCGACGGCACAGCGTTGCACAGCGTCGGCACAGCGTCGCCCTGTGCCCTGTCGACGCGGTGGAAGCGGTGGAGGTAGGTGGAGGCGGTGGAGGCGGTGGAGGCGGTGGAGGCGGTGGAGGCGGTGGAGGCGGTGGAGGCGGTGGAGGCGGTGGAGGCTCCGCAACAGCTGGCCGCGGGGCGCCCATGCCCCGGGACGGCCCGGGACGGCGGTAGGCCGGGAAGGCCGGGATGTCCCACCGCCGCCACGGCCTCGGCGTGCCTCGGCGTGCCTCGGCCACGTCAGTGCTGTCCCCGCTGTTTGAGTCATCCGTCAGTGTCAGGACGGCGGGCTGTGTGCCGCCACGCCGCCTGGGCCGCCCGGGCGAGTGGCTGTGCATGGCGTCCTCGCGCACGGCCTGCACGGCGCGCACGGCGCGCACTCGCCCCGTCCGCGCACCCTGCGGCCTGCGGCCTGCGGCACCCTGATTGCTGCAGCGCGGCCGTCTGGCGTGGCGGGCCCATTCCAGGCGGCCCATTCCCGCCGCCACGCGATCCATCAAGAAGGCACTGATGTTGTTGTTGTTGTTGGCAGGCCCTGCTGGCGTTGGCGGTGGTTGGCGGACGTTTGCGGCGGTCCGCGGTGCGTTCGTGGGCCATGCGGTGCGACCCCGCGGGCCATGGCGCTGCTGGAATCGTGCTGCTGCTGGCGCTCCGTGCGCAGGGGCAGCTACGCCAGCGCCATCTACACCATGGTGAGTGTCCGAGTGTCCGTGGTGGCCGTGGTGGCTGTGTCTGCGGTGGCCGTGGAGGCCGTGCTGACGGCGGACACGTGTCACGCGGCCACCATGAGCGGCGGCGCGCGGCGGGGGTTCCCCAGGGCTCCCCGACGACCCCTTCCCCCTTTTGACAGCCCCGCCCCTTTCCGTAATGCCTTCCGGGTTCCGGTGACCCTGCCTGCCAGCCCTGCCGGGGCGGCTATTCGATTCCCCCGGGGATGAAGCCCCTGGGGGGTCCTCAGGGACTCGGCAGAGGGATGGGGTCACTGTGGCGACGCGGCACACTTCGTCCTGGTTTTCCTATCTCAGCTCCAGCCACGCACGCGCGCGCGCTCTATGTCATCCACGCACCTTTTCCACGTTTTTTTCCCAACATATCTTCTCGAAATTATACGTAATACCACGATAAAAATTTACCGCACGCATTACGTACACAGGATAGCGGCTCCCATCTGACCTCTAAACATAACATAACTTGAAGCGTCCGCTGTCACGCCGGACTCGCGCCACAGACTCCATCGCTCATCCCAGCGGGCACCGCGTGTCCTTCCGCCGCTAGCGGTAGCTACCCCGCAGGGCTGCAGGGCCCTGGAGAGATGCTGCGTGAATTTATAGGCCCACTTCCGCCGCGTGAGGGGGGAGGGGGAGGCAGAAGGGGGGGGGGCACGCCGATGGAGTACGTCAAGTGGCTGCGGCCGCTGCGGCGCGGCGTGTCCACCGCTCGGCCGCACGCTCGCCCGCCCTGCTCACCTGTAATTAATCACTCTCTGCGCACAAAAGGTATTCAGAGAAACCGAAATAAAAACAAGCAGATGATGAAAATTTAAGGTAGTAGTAGCACAACATAAAAGTGAACTTAAAGTTATGAAACTTTCAGAGAATATGCATTGAACCCTTCTGAATCTAGATCCGTCAAGAAAAGGGACAGTCACCGTCGAAAATATTGAGCAATAAGTAATTGAAATTAGCATTGGCCTTATGAGGTTGAGGTTATGTTGCCCATCGGTGCGCCCCGTATGTTGAATTATTTATTACTTGAAGTGAAGTTCAATCTTCAAGTTTTTTGTTCAAAGGTGCATTAATACACTCTGTATCTGCTTATTCAAAGAAAACGGGTCGTTTCCGTCCTCGTTTCGAAAATAATCAACATAATGCGTCATTTAGCAGACAGGACCAGAGTCAAGTGCACAACTAACATCACTTTTTAAATTCATTGCGCCCTAAAAGGAAACTATAGAGGCATTTTAATGTCTTTTCCGAAAGTTTAAACATTAATTCAAGACAAAGAAATTTTTTTCACTCTCAAAATACCGTTTTTAAACTTTTGACTCTCGCTTGACTTGTGTTGGAGCGCTACTACTACCTTAAGTGAAAGAGGGCACCCCGGCGAACCGGCCCTCCTCCCTCCTGGGGTGGTTTGGAACCGCTATGATAGAGCGACTCAAAATGTATGGATGCTGGGGTTCGATCGTCTGACCCGGGTGTCGGTTACAGACGCCTTTCCTCACTCAGCCACCATGGCCCATGGACTGAGATGGCTGAACGGGTTCAAACCGCAGTGGGAAAGCCAGTCGAAAAACGAAAACATTTCTCAGGTATCGATCGCCGGACCCTAGGGTGCACCGATGGAGAACCGATGATGCCGCTCTGCTCTTGACCTCCAGGGATCACATGCTACAGGCGAGAAGCGGAGCACCAAGTTCGTTCGGTTTGAAGACATCGGAAAAGACATTAAGAAAGAAAGTACGGGGAGTCGATGCAGGTGCCACTCCACTCCACCGCCTCGCTCGAATTCGGCGCGCGCCAGTGTAGGTGACCCTGTGATTTACACCCCCACTCCCCCTCGCCCAGCCGATGGCCGTCAGGTAATGAGGGTGTGATTACGCGGCGAGCCACTAGCCAGCCAGCCAGCCAGCCACCCACCCACGTGGCACTCCGTCACTGATTGGCTTTCAGGGCTAAATGGCCGCTACCCGGCGTGGTCCGTGCGGTGATAATGACGGCTGATTCTCCGTGCCGCGTTCCACGCTCCACAAACACACTCACACACACGCACGCGACCCTGCCTCACGCATCATTTCACCGCACATAATTTTCCCAGCATGAGAAAAAAGGTCCCCCCTTCCGCATCATTTTTTTTTCTTCTCCCCTGCGAGCACCGCGCCGATTCCTGCCCGTTTTGTTCCCGAGTTTTTCATTTCGTTATCGCGGTCGCGCTTCCTGGCCGACTTTTCCCTTCGCTCGGCTGCTTTCCGCCCCGGCCGAGGCCCTCGCGCCGAGCCTCGCGCCCTCGCGGCGAAGGCCGAGTTTTCTCTGGAGGGCCTGGGCACGCCGCGCCAGCCGCGCCGACGGCAGCCAGTCAAAAGGCCGCCAAAATGGCAGCCAGTCGCCAGTCGAAAGGCCGCCAAAATGGCAGCCAATCAAAAGGCCGCCAAAAAGGCAGCCAATTGAAAGGCCGCCAAAAAGGCAGCCAGTCGAAAGGCCGCCAAAAAGGCAGCCAGTCAAAAGGCCGCCAAAATGGCAGCCAGTCGAAAGGCCGCCAAAATGGCAGCCAATCAAAAGGCCGCCAAACAGGCAGCCAGTCGAAAGGCCGCCAAAAAGGCAGCCAATCAAAAGGCCGCCAAAAAGGCAGCCAATTGAAAGGCCGCCAAAAAGGCAGCCAGTCGAAAGGGCGCCAAAAAGGCAGCCAGTCGAAAGGGCGCCAAAAAGGCAGCCAGTCGAAAGGCCGCCAAAAAGGCAGCCAGTCGAAAGGGCGCCAAAAAGGCAGCCAGTCGAGAGGCCGCCGAACAGGCAGCCAGTCGAGAGGCAACCAAAAAGGCAGCCAGTCAAAAAGCCACGAAAAAGGCAGCAGCCAGTCAAGAGGCGGCCAAAAAGGCAGCCGGAACTGGAAAGGCGCGCCAAATTCGATTCGATCGCTCGCGCCGTCGTCGCGTCCGCGTCGAAGCGGCGACAGACTCGTGCGGTCAGGCGGGGCGGGCGGTGCGTCGCGCAAACTCGACGCCGACGACGCGACGCTAAGTGAATTAGGAGCGTCGCGAGGCTGCCAGCCTGCCAGGTCGCCGGGGCGGCTCGGTGGTGCGCGCGACGCGCCGGTGGGGCCAAGGGCGCCGGACGTGGGGTGCGGGGGGGGCGACTTGACCCCCCCAAAATCTGGTGGGGGGGGCATCGCCCCCCCCACTTTCAGACACAAAAGTGCCATTTTGAGCTCGAAATAGAGAAAAAAATATAGCAAAGTCGCAAATTCTTTGATTTTTGGCTTCTTGCTCGCTTCGCTCGCAGGTTTTCTTAATTTTCCTCCATTATTTTGCCGTTTGGCTCGCTTCGCCCACCAATAAAGCGTGTGATTCTGCTCTAAAAATGGCAAAAGTTGTGTTTAAGTCTAGAATTGTATGAATTTTCGCTTTAAGCTCGCTTCGCTCGCTGGATTTGGAACACTTTTAGAGAAGTCTCAACCGTATTGGGTGTTGCCCCTTAACGGTAGGCAACCCAACAATTTTTCATAAAAATTTCGCCCCCCCCACCAGAAAGTACTTCCGGCGGCCCTGGGTGGGGCCCTCGCTGGCACCGCCACGCCGCCACGCCGCCAAGCCCCCTATCCCTCGACGGCGGCCTCAGTGCGACACGCCTACCGCCCCGGTGCTCCCCGCCTAGGTCGGCCCGGCCGGCGCTGCCAACTACACTGTCGGAAAAGTGAAATCCTCCCTAATTGAGTCAGCCTGTCCGTGGATCCCTCCGGGGGAGGGGGTGCGCTCGGCACCGCTTTTGTCTTTGAGGAGGGGCTGCTGCGGATTCGACCGCACCTGCGGCGAACGGGGGCGGCCTTGGCGTCCCAACTAGCGTACATTAACCGGGAAACCGGGAATCCGGGAATCCGAAATGGGTATGGAAATGACACGCTGAGGGCGGTGCGTCGCATTCTGTCCAAACAAGAAAAAAATACAAGTTTTTAATTATTTCTTTTACCGGAACCGGAAGTTGGTGGCGCTGGGAAAGAAGCCTTTCCACCGGCGGCTTCAACTCGATGGAGGCGAGGCGGCTCCGCGGTTCTCCTCGCGAGTCAGTAAATAGCGGAGCCGAAATTAGTTCCTTTGGCCAGCCGGATCCCGGCAGTCAATTATCAATGCGAGAGAGGCGGGACGACCGGGACGGCCGGGACCGCCGGGAGCAAGACTTCTTAATAAGGTTATCTCTTTAAAGGCGTGGCGCCTTCGAGATGTCCGTAGAAAGCAGCAGCCACGTCCTATCGTGTCCCTTCTCCCTCCGAGTAAAGTCCACTGTATCTTTGAGGGAGAAAAATCCAGAAAAAAATGAGAAATGTCAATTTTTTTTAGAATCATTTTTAAAACTTTTTTTAAGTCTCGTCATTTTTGCTGTTTCGAAGCGCCGTTTAGAAAGAGCCCGCAGCCGCGTTCCGTTGCCTCGCTATCACACCACCCTGCCGCCCTGCTCCTGCCCGCCTTCAACGAGTCCGTCAGGCTCCAGTTGCCTGCCAGCCTCGGCCAGCCTGCGGTCATTACGGCCGCCACTTTGTCGCCGGCCTCCTCGGGGCGTCGTCGTGGTCCTTCCGCGGTCCTTCTTCGCGCCGCACATCGACGCCATCATTCTGGGGGCGTTGCCGCCGCGTTGTGTTGATGTACCGGTCGGGTACACTGCAGACGCTTCCAAAACCGCCCGAGCAGCGCCAAACGTCGCCCAAACGCACACATGACAACGGCGGCCCCCTCCAGTGCCCGCGGTTTTTACCGCCACCATTCCAGCCGCCGCCGCCGAGGCCGCGACCCACCTCCAGGCATCCTCCAGGCAGCCAGCCGAGCCGTCGCCACCGGTTTATGCCCGGCGCGGCGCACTGCGTCCTGGAGCGCCTGGAACGTCCTGGAATTATCCGGGGGATTATGGCCCCGGAGACGCGGCGACGCGGGCCGGGCGGCGGGCGGAGCGCCGGGGCCGCGAGTGTTGACGACGCTCATCTGGGTCTTGGAGGCGAGTAGAGGCGACTCGGTCCAGATGAAGTTTATTCGTTTACGGCCGCGACCCGGACCGCGGCCTCTCGCCTGGCACGGACACAGCGACACAGCGAGCGCGCGACGGGCTGGCCAACTGTGCGAAACTTACACAGTGAGGCATGGCGGTTGAATAAATTATCCAGGTGAGTGGTCACTGAAGAGCGAAGTTCTAAAAAACACGTTACCTCTGGTATGGTCGTGGCCTGGTGGTTTGGTTAGGGAAGGTTAGGTAAGGTTAGCAGTCTTTTTCGTGGTTCAAGGACGTCTGCTGGGTGTGCGTCTCACACGCGCGGCGGTCGTTCTTGCGAGAAAGCGTCAGCGAGCTGTAAATAAGGGCCGCGCTCCGCGTTTCAAAAAACTGAAAAAGGCAAAACAAACAACAAAAAAGAAACGGTGTTTCTGACGTCCGCGACCAATATAGATGCGGGCGCTGGTCGTTCCGGCAGAGTGGTCAAAGCCCGCCCCTCCCGCCCAGGGCCGCCAGGGCCGCCGCGCCACCAGCGCCCGCCCGAGTGGTATCATGCCGCGCTGAAGCGGGCTGAAGTGGGTTGCGGGACCGACTGGGACGGACGGACGGACGGACGGACGGACAGACGGACGGACGGACGGACGGACAGACAGACGGACGGACGGACAGACGGACGGCCCTCGGCCGCTGGTCGTTAACCACAGCCCCACTGGTGCAAACTCTGCGGCGGAGCGGCGGACTAGTACCTGTCCGGACAGTAGTACTCCACCCCAGTCAGCCGCGACGGCTACAGCGAGTTTGGTGCCCTGCCAATGTGGAGTGGAGCAACGTTGGTTTTTTATTTTTAGGGGTTCCGACGAAGGAGGACCCCTATTGCCCGGGGCCGCTCAGAATTCTTCTTCTACGGACCCCCCAGGATGGACATTTCGCTCCCGCCATATTAATCCTTTTCATAATACAATAAAAAGTTCAGAAAATCTTAAAAATTTATCGTGGAAATTTTCCGTAAACGACTAAAACATAAATTTGCAACAATCAAGCACCCTTATCCGTTCACATTTTCCAGAAACGTTTCGAAGAAAAAATGTGCCACTCCTCAAAACTAAACTTCCTGCCTCATCAAAGTGACAAAAACTAATCACTGTTCTAAGAAAATAATAAAAACATGAAGAAAAATTCTCGATGAAAACGTCCCACTGCCATTATACCAACTGTCAAAATTTAAAGTCCATGATAAAAAGAAATTAAAACGCCGTAAAATTCACAAATGCCAATGTTCACTCATTGTACACTGATAAAACATTTACACATAATTCAAATCTGTCATTAGTAAAAACTTCACAGCAGAAAAGACAGAATAAATAGATTTTTTTCTCTGTCGTAAAAAAGAGAAGGAAGAGGGAGTTATTCATGGGCGAGTTTGACGCGGTGAACAATTACGTTGGTGGCCGCCCCACCCACGCCTCGCCCCGCCCCGCCCCGCCACAGTGGAGATGACGCGGCGAGAAGGGGTCGCCAGGACAACACATAGATCCCGCTTGCGTTTTTTTTATCTCAGCAGCGAGGAGGGCCTCGCGACGGACGCAGTGCGGCTGGACGGCAGAGACTCCAATCGGGTAACGAAGTGGGCGAAAAACATACCCGCACGGCAGCGGCGCGAGATCCAGACTCAACCCGCCCCGCCCCGCAACGCGCATACCCGACCCGACCCGACCCGCCCCGGGCGGCCTAGCCCGCTCGAGACTCTGCGGGTGACGGTAGCCCGCAAGTCTGGCGATGCCCGCACGCCGCCTCGCCCCTGCAGGTAGGCAAGAAAGGTCGCTTGCCTGCGTTGCGGGCTGCCTATTTTCGGGCTGTGCGGGTAAGTGCGGGTGTCGACGCTCGCCGACCGCTTCCTCGGCGTTCGGCTCCGGCCCAGCTTCCCCCACCACAAGCGCACCGGCCAACGCTCGGCCAACATACCCGCACTTCGTTACCCGTTTGGAGTCTCTGCTGGACGGCCTGGACGGCCTGGACGGCCTGGACGGCCGGGACGGGCGAGAGGCTTCCCCCTCCCCTCCCCTAGAAAACCCATATGTTGCGATGTTGCCGGTTGTGGTCGCATTTTGGAATGAATGGCGCGACCAATGACGCGCGTGGGCCGAACGGGGAAATAGGGCGTGGTGGGCACGCGTGCGTGACACGAGTGTGTCGGTCCGTCTGCCCGCCTGTCTGTCTGTCTGTCTGCCTGCCTGCCTGTCTGCCTGCCCGTCCGTCCGCCCGCCTGTGTGCGACCATCCCGGAGGACCTCCATCTTCGAGCAGCTTCCTCGACGGGCGATATCAATCCTCCCCGATCTCCTGATCTCCCAGCGCTCGGCGTCGAGCGTCGCGCAGGCCGAGCGGGGAACGTCCATCGTCCACGGGGAGGGCCTCGGCCTCCGAGACGCCCCGGTGCCTCGGCCCTGCCTGCAGCTGTGCGCAAATGAACACGAACGAACAGGACTCGCTGCCGGGGCACAGTGGGCCAGAAGACCGGTGGAGGCGGCCAAAACTCTAGACGTGTTTTGATCTCCAGAGTCGCTGAACAGGACTCGAACCGAGCGTGTGACCCCACCAATTGATTCCTCGTTCGGAGAGCAATCCATTGGTGGGGTCACACGTTCGGTTCGAGGCCTATTTAGCGACTCTGGAGCTCAAAACGCGTTTAGAGTTTTGGCCGCCTCCACCGGTCTTCTGGCCCACTGTGCAACACTCGCTCGCTGCCGGGGAGGAGGGAGGGCGCCCGCCGTCACGAGGCTGGGCCAGCCCGGCGACCAGGCCTGGCGAGCGGGTGGCCTACCCCCGACTCGGCGGGCGCTCTGGTGCAGCAGGGTGGCCTGTGGCCTCGGCCAACAAATGATCGGTTTTCTTGTCTGCGCAGGTGTACTTCTCGCTGACGACGCTGGTGGTGGGCTGCTACCTGTACGAGGAGCAGGTGGTGATGACGGCCACCAACTCGACGCGGTCTGGGGGCTCGGGCGGCACCACCGTCAGCCTGCTGCAGCCGGACGCCGCGTCCGAGGGTGAGTGTCCCCGCGCCGCGCCGCGCCGTTTCGCGTCCCGCAGCCATCCCTCTTCAATTTGTCACGCGCTCGGGTAATTACGGCTGGCTTTAGGGCGGGGAGCGAAAAAGGCGCTGGTGGGATTTGAACCCGCGCCGCTGCCTCTGCCGCTGACGAGGGTCGAGATAAGTCTGCGTGCGGCGCTATCGCGGTACTGGACCGGCGTGCTGCGCGCCGCCCTTCTTGTTGTCCTGCAGGACGGATGCGCGGCGGCGGAAGGCACGCCGGCACGCCGCGGTCCTCTTTCATGGCGGGGAGGGCACCTTCTTTGTTTCTCCCGTTCCGCCAGCGCGGCGCGGCGCGCGGAGCCTGTGCGGCGCGGTGGAGGTCGACCCGCCCTATCCTCGTCTCGATCCCGGTGGCGGCGGCGACGGCGCCGTCGTGTGTTTTCGCAGGATAACGAGGTCAATTTCAGTTCGGGGCGCGCGCTTCGCATCGCTTCGCATCGCTTCGCGTCGGCGTCCCGCGGCGCCCGCCGTTGCCGCCGCCGTCGTCGTCCCTCGCAACGTTGCAAAAACGCGCACGACTAGTGCGTCATCCGGGTCGCCTCCGCGCGGCCCAGGGAGATGCGCGACCCAGTGAAGCGCTCGCTACCCCCCCCCCCGGGCCCCGGGTGCACATTACGGCTTTCTTCCGGAAGCTGCAACAAAGTCTGACAAAGTGGCCGCGGCGGTTGGGATGGCCCAGGGCGCTGGGCGCAGGGCGGGCAGACTGATTCTGAGAGTCCATTTGTCGCTCCGTCTCTCTCACGCCGCCCGTTAGCCTGCGTCGCCTGCGTTGCTGCATGTCCGCGCCGCTCGGTCCGCCCGCTCGGACCTCACTGCACCCGACGGCGGAACGGCAAGCCAAGCGCCCGTTCGGTTCGAGATGTCACGAGATGGCGAGATCTCGATCCGCGGCGCGCTCGTCGCCCTGCACTCCAAGAGCCTCATTCGCCAGGCCACTCGGCCCGCTCCGCCGGCGGGCCTGCCCCTCGTGCCTGCAAGCTGTGCGCACTGCTGCAGCAGCCTGCTGCGTGGCCCGGCACGGCCGCCCCGCCCCGCCCCGCCCGCCTCGACCCTGCTCCGGATCGCTCCAATTCATCATAAAGTTTTAACCGTGCCGACGGAAGCAGATTTTCTTGGCTCGCGTGCTGCACGGCGCGGCTGCACGGCGGGGAAAGGCTGCACGGCTGCACCGCGGGGAAGGAGGGGGGAGGGGGCGTTAATGCCCGGCCATAATCAACACGTGGAGTCCGCTTCTTGCCGCCTCATCTGGGTCAGTGGCGCCGAGTGGGGCCCGGCCCAGCCCGGCCCAGCGGAGCCGGGGGGGATAATACTAATCGAGGAAACATTCACTGGCGTGTAAAGTGTCTGCTGTAAGCGCGCGCCGCCGCCTCCCACCCCGCGACGCGCCCTCTCACCCGGCAGTAGTTCCGGCTTGATGGCCTCGCGGCTGGAATCTAGGCCGGCCTGAGAGGCCGCGGAGGCCGTGGAGGCCGTGCTGCAGGTACACGGCGCGTCATTGGCGCGGCCGGCGATAATGGAGGGAGGCTGCGGCGCTGCGGCCGACGCCGGGCCTACACTGCATGCGCCGTGCCGGCCGAGCCGCCGCCGGACCCCCTGCCCCAGTTTTATGCCCGTCCTCAACACTTTGCCGCGCGCCTTAAGCCCTAAAGCGGAACAGCCCCTTAAGCTGAGCCTGGCTGAGCCTCGGCGCGGCCCTCGCCTCGCCGCCTTCGACAAGCCCATGGCCCCCACGGCCGCCACGCCGCATATCGAAATCGAAATTCCGTCACACACACAAACACACACGCACAGTGTCAAATTACGCGGCATGCACCGACCGTGTCATGTTCAGCCGGCGGCAACGGCATCATTTTTCCGCCCCCGCGGTTATTCTCGCACCCAGCGCGGGAAACGCGGGAAATGCGGGAAACGCGGGAAATGCGGTCGGCTCTGTAATGCGCTGCGGCTGGCTGCGCGGGACCGGCAATATGCGGGGCCCAATCTACAGCGAATGTAGTTTACGCACGGTGTTGGTGGGAGAGAGAGAGAGAGAGAGAGAGAGAGAGAGAGAGAGAGAGAGAGAGAGAGAGAGAGAGAGAGTGGGTGTGTGCGAGCGTGAGTTTGAGTGTGGGTATATGTGTGTTTGAGAGAGAGAGACAGAGATGGGAAAGTTGGAGGGAGCGCGGTGTACTGTACGTACACTGGGAGAGGGACAGGCTCGGGGCGGCTGTTTGGAAACAGACGGGACTGCCACCCCTTCCCCCCTTCCCCTTCGCCGCGCGGGACTCGGCGGCCGACGGGACAAGTTTAACTGGAAGGGAATCTGGCGCGCGAGCGCGGCGACGCGCCGGTGGCGCTGCAGGGCGTATTGCCGGAGAGGGAGCCGCCAAATTGACAACTGGAGCAGGGAAGCCGTGCGAACTCCACAGGATGCCACTGAACGCCACAGAACGCCGCAGAACGCCACAGAACGCCTCATAATACGACGCTGCCACGGGCAGAAGCAGACGCAGTCGATTCGGCACGCAGTTGCGGCGCACGCTGCAGCAGCCCTGGAGCCCTGGAGCCCTGGAGCCCTGGAGCCCTGGAGCCCTGGAGCCCTGGAGCCCTGGAGCCCTGGAGCCCTGGAGCCCTGGAGCCCTGGGCGGTGCTTCGGCAAGTCGGGAGAGAGAACCAACCCCTTGAGAGTGAGCCAGCGGGCAGAGCGGGGCGGGGAGGGGGAGGCTGAGGCTACAAGGAGCTCGAGATAAGCAGCAGGCCGCCTAAATGCACCGTCAGGGCCCCGGCAGCGAGACGAAGTGCAGCGCGGATGAGAGGGACGCGATGCGCACACTTCCCCAGGGAAGTCGCACAATTTAATCCTCTCATACAAAAAAGTTCCGCCAAGGCAAGCTTAGCAAAGCGGTCTTGCCGTGGACCGGCAGGGGAGGCCGCGCAGAGGGGGGGCAAGAAGGGTGGGGGTGGCTGTGAGGAGTGGGGACTGGCTCGGCGAGGCGGCGAGGCGTGGCGGCGCAGGACGACGACAGACGACGACCAACACGACCATGCAGTCCCCTCCGAGCGCGCTGAATGGATGGATGGGTGGATGGATGGGATGGGATGAGTGGGATCGTATGCAGAGCTAGAAGCGGTAGCAAGACCGCTTAAAAAATGAGCTCAACTTTACGGACGGTCATTGTCGATTGAGTGCCGGCGATGAATTTCTGCGAGTGCCGTCGGAATTCGGTGAAAACTCTTAGAAAGTTATTTGCAGTACAGGCTCCAGTCGATGTGCCCGAAATGGTTTTTCCGAGAGTTGTTCCCAGCGGTTCCGGGCCACGTCGACGTCGGACGTAGCCGTGTCGCTCTTTTTCTCTTTTTTCTCCGAGGCGGGGGGATGATTGTACCCAGCCGTGCCGAAATAGGTTACGAGGTTTACGAACCAACGGACCTGGCGCGCATCTGTGGACACACACGTAAACGGGAACTTGCGGCCGAAACTTTGCGCTCTCTCACACACACGCACACGGACACATTGGTCGTACACATACACGCGCAGACACACACTCACGCCGAGTTGGCCGTGGGAGGGGGGGGGGCCGTGCCGTGCTGGCCGAGAGACTCCCCGACGTTCGCGCGAGTTTGTTTGTGCATGCCGTCTTGCCGCCGGTCTTGCCGCGCATGTGTGTCTGGTCCGGTCCGTCGCTCTGTCTCTGTCGCACCCATGGGGCGGCCCGCAGGGGTGCGAGAGACACAGAGCGAGGAGCGCTGCGCTGCCGCGGCGGTCCCACGGCGGGCCGGCTGCAAGTTATCTCCCCGGCGAGGCGAGGCGCTCCAGCCCGCTGCCGTCGGGTACCGTCGGGGTGCGCTCTGGGTTATACAGTTGCATGCCTCGTCCCGCCCCGCCCCGCCCCGCCCCGCCCCGCCCCGCCCCGCCCCGCCCCGCCCCGCCTCTCGCTCTGGCGCACAGCAGCGCAGGCGGCGCGGCATCCCGGGCTGCAGGATAACGCATACCGGCGGAGCAATGCCAGAGCGGGCCGGGCCGGGCACAGTGTGCCAGGCTGCCAGGCTGTGCGCACAGTCGGGGGGGCTCGCCTCGCCGGCAATCTAATGAGAGGCGATGAGAATGTTGTCGTGGGTCGTCCCGCCGTCCCGCAGCGCCACGCAGGGCTGCGCTGCACAGTGGGCCAGAAGACCGGTGGAGGCGGCCAAAACTCTAGACGCGTTTTGAGCTCCAGAGTCGCTAAACGTGACTCGAACCAAGCGTGTGACCCCACCAATGGATTGCTCTCCGAACGAGGAATCCATTGGTGGGCTCACACGTTCGGTTCGAGTCCTGCTTAGCGACTCTGGAGCTTAACACATTCACGACCGTCCGGGAACACGCGTTCCCGTACGGGAAAAAGTCCAGACGACCATCCGGGAACACCGTTCCCGGACAAATCCGATTTTCCGATTTCACCTCACAGAATTGTCACGATCATGAGACATATTTTTTTGGAACCGCCTCAACGAAAGACGCAAGTTACTTTTTGAACGGACCTCGTACGATGAATTTGGTACGGGTACATGATTCCCGGACGGTCGTCAGAGACATGTCCAGTCCGGGAACACCGTTCCCGTACGTAAAAGCGGCCCAGCAAGCTAAATGAGGGTATTTTCGGAATCAGCGGATCGAGCCCAGGCCATTCGCACACTTTTCGACTTGGTTTGAGCTGTTACAACCAACTCGATTTTGACACGGCCCGATTCTGCTGCATGTCAAGAAGGCCGCGTGGAAATCGGGTTGGTTGTAACATCTCAAAACAGGTCGAAAAGTGTGCGAATGGCCTGGGCTCGCTCCGCTGATTCCAAAAATACCTCATTTAGTTTGCTGGGCCGCTTTTACGTACGGGAGCGGTGTTCCCGGACTGGACATGTCTCTGACGACCGTCCGGGTACACGGTTCCCGGACTCAAAAACGGCCATACAAGCTTAAAACTGAGACTTCTTGCGTTTTCTTCCTTTTTTTTGAAAATAAAATGATTTTGGTACTCATTTTGATGGGGAACCGTGTTTCCGTACTGCGTTCCCGCATCTAGTGTCGTTGGCGTCCACAGGGGAACCCTGTACCCGGAATGGGCATGGCCCTCGCGACCGCCCGGGCGCGGGGTTCCCCGGGAATTTTTTTTTCGGCTGATTGGTTTTGTTATTGCATGATTCGTGCTTATATCTAGTCGCGAGGTCTGGGAGATGCATGGTTTGGTCAAAGCAGACTCCGGTCCTGAGCGGAAGTTTGCCCAAAACGAGTCCGGTCGTGAATGTGTTAAAACGCGTCTAGAGTTTTGGCCGCCTCCACCGGTCTTCTGGCCCACTGTGCGCTGCTGCCCTCCGCAACGGGGTACGATGGCCGACGATGGCCCCGGGGTCGGCGCGGTGCGGCCGGGCTGGCTGGCTGTTGGGGAAAGGGGGCGCGGGGGAAGGGGATTGATCCCTGCTCTCGGACAGCGTCTTCTCGGCACGCGTCCTACAAGGAGCGCTGTTGATTAAATTCACCGCCCCGCCGCCCCCGCCGGCAGGAGCCAGCAATCCCCCGGGACGCCTGGTACTCCGCCACGCGCCGGGCGTCCGGGAGTTCTGTCTCGTGATTTCCTCCTTTTTTTCCCCCGCTCCTCTTCGCGCAACCTGTTTAACGCCTGCTTTTGTTCACGACAGGATTAATTTAGCGAAACGGCTCGAAAAAAAAAAACGCTCTTGTTCTCTGTTCCAGCGGCCGTCGCCTTCAGCGTGGTGGTGCTGGTGTGCTCCACGTGCGGGCTGCTCAGCACCGTGCTGCTCCTCGTCGGCCTCCGACTGGTGAGTGTGTGTGTGTGCGTGCGTGTGTGCATGTGTGTGTGTGTGTGTGTGTGTCTGTGCGCGTGTGTGAGTGTGCCACGGGGGAGAATGGCGGTGGATTACGATCGGATGAGTGTAAGCGGCCAGCGGGGCCGGGATGTGTATGGCTGCTGATTTCGCCATGGACAGCGAGGCGGCGAGGCGCGAGGGGAGGCGGCCGAGTGTAATGCGAGGGGCCGGCCGAGGCAATTTGAGGAGGGCGAGGAGGGCGTCCGGGAGAGACCGGCGTCGGGGGGGTATTCTGCCGGCGCGCGCCCATGACGCTCCGCACGTTTGCCCGCCCCTGGCCCCCCCGACAAGAAC